TGGGTCTGCATTTCCTGGAATCCGTGTGATCCTCTTTGGCCCTGTCCGGGCTTCTGGCCCTTTCCTCGAAACTGCTGTGGCTGGATAATCCATCAGATTGACAAGCCGGCTTCCTGAGAATAGCGGATTCCCGCAAGCTCCTCTCAGGGGCCTGGTCGTCTGGTCCCTCCCAGCACATGCACTGTGTCCGTCTGGTGTCACAGCCTCCAGCAAACACCTGCTGAGCCTACCCCAGACCAGGCTTGCAAAACTGAACTGTCCCCACCTCACGGAGCTCCTGCACAGACAGCGCAGCCAAAGCAGCCTGTCCTGCAATGGGGGCAGAAGCTGCAGCTGGGAGACCCAGAGAGGCATGGCAGGCGACATGGGGCCTCGGGAAGGGTTCCTGCAGGGAGTGAGGCTGGAGGGGGATCTTGAGGATGTCCAGGCAGAGGGGGCTGTGTGGGCAAAGGCCCTGAGCTGTGTGAGATGAGGCCCCTCCAGGGCTCCCTGTATTGAGTGGGGTTGTCCCTAGATGTGGGCTGGGCCAGGAAGAGGGTCACCCTGGATCACAGGGCCTGTGAGCTCATCTCAGTAGCTGAAGTGGATCCAGCAGCAGTGGAGCCACAGACCGGCTCAGGGATGGGCGCACCACCGTCTGTGCGTTGGGATGGACCACACGGGCTGCTGGAGGGAGGTGGATGGGGGCAGAGGCGGGGCCTGTGCTGGTCACCATGGGTCTGGTCGGAGGAGATGGTGGCCCAGCATGGGTGGAGAGGAGGGGCAGACTCAGCACATAGGTAGGGACAGTGAGGCAGAGCAGGTGGCCCCACACTGTCCCCTGCCCACTTCTCACAATTCCACCCAGACAAAGTCCCACCGTCTCCTTTGGCTTCTCCGAGTCCCCAGCGCTTTCTGCCACCCTGGTGCTGTGTTCCTCCTGCTGCCCCTGAGCCAGGGGCCCTGGACAGCGGTGTCCACCCTCCACCTGGCAGAGCCATGTCTGTGCCAGTGCCTGACACTTGAGGGTGCTTCCTCTCTGAGGTCTGGGACTCCCAGAGAGCTCGCCCCCGCCCCCTCCTGGCTGATGCCCAGAACTCTGTGACCCTGTGCAGGCACTGATGTCTCTGTTTACAGCAGAACAAGCCAGGAAGGGACTGGCCTGTGGTCCCTTGGCCAGCGTGTGGGGTCCCACTCCCCTAGAGGCCCCTCTGACGAGGGTCCCACCCTTTGCCATGCCGAGCACCTCCACTCTGGCATGAGCTCACCCTCCCAGAGTCCCTCCACCGTCCCTATTCTGTCGTCTGAATTGGACCAGAGGAGCTGGGCCTGGAGGAGTCACTTCTGCTCACCTGGGGACAGAGCTGTCAGGAGGGAAGGAGTCTCGCTCTGACTTGGGAGACAGTGCTGCACCCCTATCTGGCTGGGGGGCTGCTCCCCTCCCCCTCTGAGCACCTCCTTTTATCTGCACCCTCCAGCTTTCCCATGTGCCCTAAACTCAGGGAACCTGGGGACTAAGCAGGGGAGGGGCGTGTCCCTGGGGACTGCAGGGCTGGGTCACGCAGGGGATTCACCTCCTGGGCCTGGACCTCTCTGCTCTCTCACCACCTCAGACCCCTCCATCCCACGGGGGACCTGCTGGGCTGACGAGGGCTGTCCTGAAGAGGAGACAGGGACGCACAGCCATGGTCATTGTGGGCCCTGTCTTCCAGCGCCTCCACTGGGATGGGATTCATGGGGCCGGGCTGGGACCCTGGATGGCTCCCGCATGCAGGCATGGTGGTGGATCTGCATCTCTTCTTTCTGCCAGCAGCCCCCTGCACACTCCCTTCCCAGGCCCTGTGGTGATTGGAGGCCTGGACTTTGTCTCGTGTTTTCAAGGCATAAAAACTGGCCAGTGTGTGGTCTTTAATGGGACCCACAGGACCTGTGAGATCCTGGCCTGGTCCCCCATGGAGAGCGACACTGAGCCCATGTAAGTGTCCCCGAGACCCAGGGCAGGTCCCAGGACCCGCAGAGCCTGCCCCTTACCTCCCCCACCTGCAGGAAGCCCCTGCTGGTCCAGGCTGAGAACTTCATGCTGTTCATCAAAATCACTGTCACCTTCAGCAACTTCAACCTCTTCAAGTGAGCACCGTGGGTCCTGGCTGCCCAGATCCTCCTTGTCTCCTCCTGGCAAGACCCTGCCGGCTCCACTCCCTCTCAGGTCCACTGCCTTGGAGACCTGGGATGCCACCTATTTCAAGCGCTGCAGCTGTGACCCACGCTTCAGCCCCTACTGCCCTATGTTCTGCATCGGGGACCTTGTGGCCACGGCTGGAGGGGTCTTTAAGGACCCAGCATTGCTGGTGGGTCCCTGGGGGCAGGGTTGTGGGAGGCCTTGGGGAGAGGGTCCAGAGCCCGTGTGCTGGTGGAGCAGTGATGCACTGTGTGCAGAGCGGTGCTGTGGCATCCACGTCCGTTGGGATTGTGACCTGGACGCCGGGGGCCCCAACTGCTGGCCCCACGACTCCGTCCAACTGCAGGAGAGGAGCTCCAACTTCAGGTGCGGCCCCACTGCCCACCTGCTGCTCCTCAGCCCGGTCCTCCCCCTCCTGTCCTGCTGTGGTGGCCAGGACAGACCACAGCCTGGCTTGTCCCTCTGGACGCTCTGGACGTGTGAGGGGGTCCCAGTGCAGGAGGGAGTCTCTCAGCTCCAGGGCCCCCAGCACAGGCTCCGTCTAGCTTCCCTCTTGAGCCCTTTGGCCTCCACCCCATCTGTCCCCACACCCTGCTGCAGCTGGGACCCCTCACCCCAGCCCCTCCTCCACTCCGCCCTGCCTCCAGCACCTCCCTCCACGGCACGGGGGCTTTCTTTTTACTTTTCCCTTAAGGTTTTATCTAAAAGATTACAAGAATCTATAGAAAACTTCAAATGTTAGTAAGACTGAAAAGCCGTATAGCCTTCATTGGGTTCACCAGATTTGTTTTTATTTATTTTTTCACCCTTCTGCCCCATTTGCTTTCTCTCTCCCTCTCTGGAGAGCTGGGTGTATTTAGATACATTTCACAGGAGACCATTGGAAAGTAAGTGGCAGATATCTGGACACTCACCCCTCTCACCGTGTCCTGAGAATGAGGCCCTTCCCCAGGTGACCGCTGTCCTTTTGTCACACTCAGGAAATTTAACATTGACAGATAGACCTAATATGTAAATTTCCCCAGCTGTGCCAGAAATAGTCCTAAATCCTTTGAATTTCTGATCCGTGATGCACTCAGGGATCTTGCGTTGCATGTATTGTCCTGTCTTTGAGGCTCCTAAGCAGACCTGTCCCATCCCTCTGCCCCCTCATGTCACCTCATCACCCTCATACAGACGTGAACACAGCCACCAGCCCTGGAGGTGACACCCATGACACTGCCCTCTGGGCCCTCCTGGCCTGGCTTCGCTGGCCCCCCAGCCCTGTGCAACCATGTGGGGCTGGACCCACCCACACCCTGCCCGCCTCCCCTCTGCACTCTCCCCGCCCTCCATCTCTGCCTAGAGCTCCTCCCTGAGCCCTAACCTTCCCTGGTTCCCAGGGAGAGTGTGTGCCCCTCTCTGGACCCCACAGCCACAGGCCTGCCCCAACCTCCCCCACCCCCACTGCCGGTGTCTGTTTAGGGACCCTTCTGTCCCCGTCCCCTCAGCAGGCAGGGGGCTTCTGAGAGACAGGTCCCAGCTTGCTTGTCCCCTGTGTCCTCAGCAATGACACAGGGCTGAGACCCAGGACTCAGGCTGGGGTGGATGGAGTCAGTGGATGAGTAAGATGAGGCCTGTGAGGGCCAGGCCACCCAGGAGTGGGCAGAGCAGCCACTGGACTCTCTCCTGCCCCAGGACAGCTGCTCACTCCGGGGAGGCCTCAGGCATGGAGGCCCGGAGTCTGCTCAAGCCTCATGGGATCTGCTTTGACATTGTGATCACTGGGCACGTAGGGGTCACGCCGGGGCAGGTGGGGGCAGGCAGGGGTGAGGGGCAGGAGGGGGCGACAGCCACAGGCAGAGAGGCTCAGCCCAGGTCTCTCTCAGGCAGGGAAGTTGGGGCTCATCCCCACAACCCTCACTCTGGGCACTGGAGCGGCCTGGCTGGGTGTGGTGAGTCTGGCCAATGTGGCTCCCTCTGGCTGCTGGCAAGCGCGTGACCCCTGAGTGCCCCCCGAACCCCCTGTGCTGACACTGAGTCTTGGGGTGAGGGCTGGGGAGGCGGTGGAATGGCAGGTTGGGGCCAGGCCATGGTTCTGCCCTGCCTCGCCCAGATCACCCCCTTCTGTGACCTGCTGCTGTTGTACGTGGATGGAGAAGCCATTTCTACTGGAGGACCAAGCATGAGGAGGGGGCTGTGGGCCTGCCTGACCCTGGGCTACACTTTGGAGGATGTGGCTGGAGCCCAGACCTGCTGTCCTCATCTGCAGGCAAAGGCCCTGAACAGACAGGCAGCTTCCCCACCCCCACATCCGGCTGCCCAGGTGCTTTGGGGGGGCCCAGCACCTGTCCCCACTGCTGCTGCTGGGAGCTGGACACCGTCGCCAGGGTGGGCCTGGCACCCACTCGCTGGCCTGTTCCTGAGGCCTGTAGCCTTTCTCTGCTGGTTGGGTGTTGGGGGTTGGTGGGTTGGGGACTGGAAATGGGGGTCCAACCTTGGGGATACATGGATGAAGCCCCCGCAGGATCAAGGCAGGGTTGGGGGATAATTCCACCCTTCAGCTCCCAGGCAGACTGTCCCTCCCTGAGCTCCAGCCTCGGCAGGTGCTGCCTGGGGACCACAGAAGCCAGTTTTGTGTAGAGACTGCAGGGAACAGACGCAGGGCCCTGGTCCAGTGGGGCTCTGGCTGGGGCTGGGGCTGGAGACGCTCTCCCAGGCTCCATCTCCAGTGTTCCCAGCAGCTCCCCGCTCCCCGCTCACCAGCTGTCCACCATGCTGGCTGTGGTCGCCTCCGGCCCTGCCTGGCTCCCAGCCCTCCTCCCCCTGCCAGCACCCCCCTCACAGGGAGAGGCCCTGCCCTCTCAGCTGCCCTGCACTGGGGTCTGTGCAACCAGAGTCCAAGGCCAGGGAGAAGGCAGCCTGACAGGAGGAGCTGTGGCAGCTGCTCTGTGGTGGGTTCCCAGGCAGGGCCCCTCCCAGCTCTGGGCCTTGTCCATGGAGTGAGGAGTGCAGGGAGCAGATGTTCTGAGCCCCTAGGACCCCAGGCAAGGGCACAGGACCCTCTTGGGCCCCTACCTGCTCAGCTGATGAGCACCAGCCCCTTCCTGGTGGCAGCCCTGGGACTGTGGAGGGCTGGGATTTGGAGAGCGGAGGGGCTGAGTTGGTGGGTATGGGGTCCTTTGGGACACTTTGTCTGTCTCCTTGGTGACACCAGCCCAACACCCTGCAACCTGCTCACTGGGCTCCTGGGAACCATGGGGTGGGGAGGCTGGATATCTGGACACACGTCACTGCTGCCCAAGGTCATACCTGAGAACATGTCTGGGCAGCTGCCCACCCCAGCCTGAGGCAACTGCATGAGGACCATGCTCTGACCAAGAGCAGAGGCTGGAGAGAATGTCCCTAACAGAGGATATGGAGCCCCCAGCATGCTGGCCTGGTTCAGGCTCTGGAATCCTCTGGAGGCCTGAGTCCTGCCTGCTGGAGAATTTCCCTGTGTCCTGGGCCCATGGTCAGGAGGGGAGGGACTGGGCTTCAGGAGCCAAGGGCTCTCTTGCTCCCAGTGAGGGGCAGGGTTTGGGGTACCCACCCCAGGGAGACTAGGGGCTGCCTTCTCATAGTTCCCTGGTGAGCAGGGGCGATGCAGGCAGCTTGCTGGTGGAGCGATATGGGCCAGGCTGGGAAGGGGAGGCCTGGGGCTCAGGCTGGGCAGCATCTGGAATCATCTAGAGCAGCCAGGTGCTTGTGCACCCAGCTGCCCGCGTGTGTCCCATCCCGAGCCTTTGTCACAAAGCCCTGAGGGGGCGGCAGGGAGAGAGACCACTGGAAGCTGCGGGCAGCCCTGGGCTGGGAAACAGCTGCTGCCTCAGTCTGCACGTGGGTGTGCATGCCCAGGGGACTGTGTGGGCCATGTGGGCCTGTGCCTGAGAGATGTGTGTGCCTGGGCCGGGGAGCCTCTCCATCCGAGGCAGGCCTCAGGACATGCCCTGTTCTCTGGGAAACTGAGGGAACCCTGGAACAGCACTGCCCTTTCTAGGTGGCCTCCTTGGGGACCAGGCTCTGCTCTCTGGATCCAACCCTGAGGGGACATGTGGGGACCCTGGAAGGGAGCCTGGCCCTACCCTGTCAGGGACCCCTGCCACATCCCCCTTAGAGAATCTTGGCATCTTTGTTGTGGATTGAGGGAAATCTCCTGGCTCCCAGGTACAAGTGAGGGCTCAGTGCCACAAAGACCACCACAGTGGACACCGCAGCAGGCCACACTGTGGGCCGAGCAGTTATTGTGGGTCCCTGGGGCTGAGGCTCTTCCTTGCCTGCCCTACTCCACCTGCCCAGGTAGCTGGAGTTGGTCATAAACTGGACGGCACTGGGCAGAGTCCACCACACCAGCACTGGCCACAGCTAACTCTAATACTCGAAGCTCGGCACCTGGGCTAAGGTCCTGAGGTCCTGAGGACCCCCTGGCATGGGCAGGTCTGCCAAGCTGAGCTGCCCCAGATAGAGGGGCTGCCAGAACCTCTGACCTCCTGAGGAGGTAAGGGAGGGAGGGCAGGCCCCCAGTGGTCCTCATGGACTGGCGGGCTGCTCTCTGTGGCTGGGCTCCCGGGCTGGTGCCTGGCTGGTGGGCTGCAGGGCTGGCACCATCTCCTCCAGGCTGCCGCGTGTGGCTGTCAATCCCGGCTGCTCCCGCTGGTTCTCCTTGCTGTGCCTGATGCCATAGCCAAAATACACCACGAGTCCTGCAAGGGTGGCACAAGCCTGAGGGGCAGGTCCCAGGCCTGCTTCCCTGTGTGCCCTCCTCCTGCAGCCCCCTGTGGGTCCCAGCCTGGCCCCCACTCACCGATCAGCAGACAGATGGAGAAGCTCAGCCAGGCCAGGTAGCTCAGGTGCAGGATGAGGAAGATGTTGAGGAGGATGCTCAGGGCGGGAGTCAGGGGCACCATGGGAACCTGAGGGGACAAGGACAGGGCTGGGATGCAGGGAAGGGCTGCTGGCCCAGGGCCTGATTTCTCGAGAGTCCAGAGACATTCTCCACCTCTGGAGATTCCGGAGACAAGGCCCCCCCGCCATGCAGAGAGAGGGGTGTGGGGCACTGGCCTCCCCTGCCCTGCGGCCCTGGTGCATCCTGCCACGGCAGAGGAGGAAGGGGCGAAGGGAGCTGGCTGGGCTGAGCGCGGTGGGTGCTGGCTGGAGGAAGTACCTGAAAGGTGTCCTGCCGGCGCTGCTGCTGGTGGGCCCCCAGGACGAGGAGACTGAGCAGAAAGGTGATGGAGCTGAGCAGGAGCAGCAGGGTGTAGCCCCAGGGTGGGAGGTGCAGGGCCGAGTCCCCAAAGACCAGCACGCAGTCCAGGGTGATGGCCGAGCCCACCAGGACACCGAGGGCCCAAGCCACGGCAGCTCCAGGTCTGTACCCACCCAGGAAGCGGAGGTAGGGCCTCAGGGCTGGTCGCAGCTGCCCAGGCTCAGCTGAAGTCTGCTCTGTGCCCTCACGGCTACCTGGGTCCAGGGAACTGGATGGAGGGGCCTTTTGAAAACGTAGCATGATAATGCTGATGGCCACAAAAATGTAGGTCAGCAGTGCACTGATGCACAGGAACTGCACCAGTGTCTCAAGGTCCAGCAGCAGTGCCAGGAAAGCCATGAGGACCCCAAACACCAGCATGCCCACAATGGGCACCTGTGTCTGGGGGTGCACGTGGGCAAACACCTGGAAGAAGAGCCCATCGGCAGCCATGATACGGACCACGCGTGGCAGGAAAAAGAGGTTGCTGATCAGGACACTGTTCATGGCTGTGGCAGAGGATGGGAGACTTGTCAGCATGGTGGACAGGTCCACCGGGGGCCACTGCTGGGGACCAGGACATGGGTGGCCACTTGGGAACACGAGCATGAATTTGTCTGTGTTCTCAGAGTGAGCCTGAGGGTATGTGGGTGCTGAACTGTCCCTCTCACCACCCTGGTTGGGACACTACAGTTTGGGTGGCTGGCCCAGAGGAACATCTGATGAGGGCTGAGTCCCTCTGCCTGGAAGGATCTGGAAACACATGCCCAGAACTGACATTGTATGTATAACTGGGAGGGGCCGTGAGTAGGTCCCTCCCAACAAGCCTGGGTGGAGAGTCTAATCATTAGCACCTTCCTGGGCCCAGAGTACAACTGGGAGCAGAGACCCAGATGGAGATGTGTGCCCTGGAGGCTTAGGGCAGGGCCCCACCACCCTGTCCCCTCCCACCTTGCCTAGAAGAGCCACTTACCAGAAATGGATTCAACCACCACGACAAAACCCACCCAGCTATAGCCCCGCTTGTAGAAGGCTTCAGCAAGCGCCCAGTCAGGGTCCAGGCTGTGCCAGGGCACCATGAGGGTGAGCACAGCGGAGACAAGAATATAGGCAACAGCCACCAGGCCAAGCGAGATGGCGCTGGCCATAGGCACGGCTCGCTTTGGGTTCTGGGTCTCCCTGCTGGAGGCAGCAATGATATCAAAGCCCACGAAGGCGTAGAAGCAGGTAGCAGTGCCAGCCATGATGCCAGAGAAGCCAAAGGGTGCAAAGCCACCCACTTCAGTGCTCCAGTTGTGCGGGTGGGCCAGGACAGACCCCAGGATGATGATGAAGAGCATGACGATCAGGCTGATGGCGGAGAAGCTGGTGTTGAGCCAAGAGTAGACACGGGCTCTGCAGGAGGCAGATGCAGAGGCCAAAAGTATGATACCAGCAGCAAGGAAGTCTGGGTACTGCGCCAGGAAGGGCACCTGCCAGATGCCCACATGGGCCTCAGCGAAGCTGCGGATAGGGCGGCTGAAGATGGCGTCCAGGTAGCTGCTGAAGATACGTGCCACAGCAGCTCCACCAATGAGATGCTTGAGGAGCATGTTCCAGCCCATGAGGAAGGCCCACAGCTCACCCATGGATGCATAGGTGAACAGGTAGGCAGAGCCCTTGTGGGGCATAGGCACCACAATCTCTGCATAGCACAGGGCTGCCAGCAGAGAGGCCACGGCAGCTACCCCAAAGGATATGAGCACTGCAGGGCCGGCCACCTCTTTGGCCACAGTGCCCATGAGCACATAGAAGCCTGAGCCCACCATGCCACCCACACCCAGCAGGGTCAGCTCCAGCGTGGTCAGGTGGGGCTGCAGCGACTTCTCTGTGGTGGGCTCCTCCAGTGTCTTCAGCCGGTTCAGCTTCTGGCTGAAGTGCTCCAGGCTGGTGGTGCTGGGCAGTCCCTGGGCCATGGTGGGCAGATGAGATGAGCACCAAGTCAGCTGCTGGCACCTACAAGAACCAGAAGGGAGTGACAGGCTTCCCAGCCGGGTCCTGACCAACCTCCAGTCCTTGCTCTGACCCTACCCTGGGGACCCAAGCCTGGAACCACTGGCAGCTGCAGGGCTGGATGAGGCAGGCTCAGGGCCTGGCAGCAGGGTGGGAAGGAGGCCACAGGGAAGCGTGGGGATCCCTTTGGGCCTGCCTCCTAGACAAGGGAGGGCTTGTGTCAGAAGGGTCCTGTGGGTGGGAAGGGCCAGCCGCAGGGAGCCCCAATAGGAACTTCTCCTGTGTTCTGGTGTGCCAGAGCAGGGTGGAAACTGAGGCTTCCGGGAGCTGGGCCTGGCCTCCAGGACCCAGAACAGAAGTGACTCTGTGGCCCTGGGCTAACCCAGGAGGCCACCTGGCCTCAGACAGCCGTCATCATCTCCCCATGAACCACCCCACCTGGCTGGTGAATCAGCCCACCCCAAAGGAAATGGGGTGGGCCCTGGGCCCTGAGCCTGAAGCCAAGGCACTGTGCCCCACTCCTGCACGCAGCCACACTCATGCCAAGCAACCATTTGAGCTGATTTTGTTGCACCCCTATCCCCAGGTACAGGAGCCTTTGTTTCCTCTTTGGTCTTACTGAAACTCACCTGCTGTCACTTTGTTTGTTGCTCTGTGCCCTTGCCACCAGATTCAGCAGTGGACCCTACCTTAGGGTCAGACACGCACTCAGCCCACCCTACCCACCCCTCACATGGTCTAGATTACAGTTCATCAGGTTCTAGGAAAACCCTATTACTATACCAAGTTCCCAGATGGGGAAGTCCAGGCCACCAGGTAAGTAACTAGCCCAGGTCACCAGGGTGGCTTCAGGAAGTGGGGGAGGTTAAGGTCCAGGTCTGGGTGGGGTCTGGAGCCCACCCGCTTTCCACTGCTGCTGACACCCTCCTTGATCCCTCATCCCAACACGTGGACTCCACCAGCGGGGCACCATCCAGGCCCCTCGACCCTGGGAGGTGTGGGGGCTTCGGGAGTCAGGCAAGACGCTGGTAAGATGAGGGCCTGAATCTGGCCCTGGGCAGTCCCTGACCTCTGGCACAATGGGATGGCAGTAAGCCACCCTCACCCACTGATGAGGGAGCGCCCGGCTGTGGGGAGTGTTCTGTGAATTGGCAGAACTCATGCTGGCTGTTCTGTTCCGGGCTTCCAGCTACAGAGAGTGTGCTGAAAGGAGACAAGCAGACCCCTGGGGGTGACCTCCAGCCCTCCAGCTTGGGGTACCTTAGGGCCCCTCAGACCCCAATGGCAGCCCCTCCCAGCCCAGGAGCACCTCTCAAGCCTGGAGGACCCTGGGGGACCCGAATGGCAGCTCTCACTTGTGGATATCTGTGAGAAGTGTCATGGACTGAGCATCTGCTCCATGCCAGTACACGCATCCCGGGGAGACATCACCTGTCTCATCACGTGACCATCGCAAACCCACTCAGGCTTATCTATTCCTGTGGCTGAGTGGTCTTTGTCCTTCTGCTCTTCCCAGTCCTTTGAAAGTGGAAAGGCTGGTGTGACAGGGTGTGAACTTCTCTACAGCAAAATGAGGACAATCCATCCAAGCAAAGCAAAACCAAAACAGTCATCCTCTTCCCCCAGAGCTCTCTCCATGTTGTCAGGTTTCTATGTGGTTTGTGGGATAGGACGTTAGGGGCACCTGCAGGCTGTCTGGCTCAGGGGGCTGGTGACAGGGTGGTGGACTCCCAGACCGGATGGCGCCACTTGGAGCACTCTACCTTAGCCAGCCCCTTGCTCCCTTCTGGTATGTGGCTGACATTGTCTTGAGGAACTTCTCAGATGGGCTCCCACTTCCTGCAGGGGTGACTCCTCCCGCACCTCGCTCCTGTGTGGCCTAAACATAACTGAGCAGAGTTCCTTGTTCTGAAATGCCTTCACAGAAACCCAGAAAAATGCATTTCCCACCAAGAGGCCTGGGCAGTTGTGTAACAGGAGCTCCTCCAAGGCCTGACCGATGGCCACCTGAGAGCTGGAGTGCAGGGTTTCAGAGCACTGACTTTTTATCTTCCCAGAGAGGGGCTCTCACCACTCCCCCTTCACAGGGGCCAACATCCAATGGATACTCATGGCCAAGCGTGGTCGACACAGTAAACTAAACTTCCAGGGACATGGCTGGGCCAAGTGCTGGACCCCAGCGAGCAAGGCAGTTACACTGAGCAACACATGGAGATGCAGTGAAGAGAAAGCACCAAAAATACAAGGAGAAGAAGAGAGAACGCTTCCCACCTCATCCTACACAGCCAGGAGCACCCTGACACCAAACCCAGCAAAGACATCACAAGGAAAGAAAACTACAGACCAATGTCTTTATGAATATAGATGCAAAATTGTTCAACTGAGTGCCAGCAAAGTGAATCCAGCAACATATAAAAGGGCCAAGCAGGATTTTTTTTTTTATTGAGTTAATGATATGTTACAATCTTGTGAAATTTCACTTGTACATTATTGTTTGTCAGTCGTGTTGTAGGTGCACCACTTCACCCTTTGTGCCCACCCCTCACCCCACCTTTCCCCTGGTAGCCACTAATCTGTTCTCTTTGTCCACATTTTTAAGTTCCTCATATGAGTGGAGTCATACAGAGATTGTCCTTCTCTAGCTGGCTTATTTCACTTAACATAATTCCCTCAAGGTCCATCCATGCTATTGCAAATGGAATGATTTTGTTCTGTTTTGCAGCTGAGTAGTATTCCATTGTATATATGTACCACATCTTCTTTATCCATTTGTCTGTTGATGGGCACTTAGGGTGCTTCCATGTCAAGCGGGATTTATCCCAGGAATGCAAGATTGGTTTCACATATGAAAATCAATCAATAGAATATGTCATACTAATAGAATAAAGGAAAAAACTGCATGATGGTCTCAACAGACACAGAAAAAAACAGTCAACAAACCTGGACTAGAAGGGACCCCCCCACCCCAAACTGACGAAGACCATCCACGAAAATCCCTCGGCTGCTGTGCTCAGTGGAGAGAGACTGAAAGCTTTCCCTTTGCTCAGGAACAGCATCGGGAGGTCCTCTCACCACTTGTATCCAACACTTCACTGGGGGCTCTGGCCATGGCAATTAGGTGAGAACATGAGATAAAAGGAATCCAGATTGGAAAGGGAGGAGTAAAAGTATCTGTAACCACAGATGACATGATCTTATGTAGAGAAAATCCTAAGGAGTCCACACAAAAAATATTAGAACTGATAAACCTGCTCAGTAAAGGTGCAGGACACAAAAATCAAGAGCCCTAGTGCCAGCCCTGTGGCCAAGTGGTTAAGTTCACACACTCTGCTTCAGCGGCCCACAGTTCACTGGGTCAGATCCCGGCATGGACCTACACACCACTCATCAACCCACACTGTGGTGGCGTCCCACATAGAACAACTACAATGACTTACAACTAGGATATACAACTATGCACTGGGACTTTGGGGAGGAAAAACAGGAAGATTGGCAACAGATGTTAGTTCAGGGCCAATCTTCCTCACCAAAAAAGAAAAACAAAACAAAACAAAAAAAACCCACACCTCCTTTGACCCATACCTCCTTTCAGTTCTCACCCTGTTTCACCACTTCCCTTCTTAAAAAAAAAGAAAAGAAAAGAATAAATTTATGTACAAACTTCTTAGAATGAATTTGACAAAATAAATGCAAAACTTGTACACTGAAAAGTACTAAGTGTCATTGAAAACTTTAAAGAAGACCTGAATGAGTGGAAAGATATCCCACATTCATGGACTAGAAAACTTAGTATTGTGAAGATGGCAATCCTGCCCAAACTGGACTGCAGATTCAGTGCAATTCCTGCCAAAATCCCAACTGCTTATTTTTCAGAAATTGTCAAGTTGATCCTAAAATTCATGTGGAGATGCAAAGGACCCAGAAGAACCTAAACAATTTTGACAAAGAGCAAAGTTGGAGGACTTACACTTTCTGATTTCTAAACTGACTACAAAGCTACAGGAATCAAGACAGTGTGTTATGGACATAAGGATAAACATATCCAGATCAATGGAATAGAATTGAGGGTCCACAAATATGGGCAATTGATTTTTAAAAATTTATGGCCAATTTAATTTATGGCCACTGATTTTTTAAAAATAGACTTTATTTTTTAGGCCAGTTTTAGGTTCACAACAAGACTGAGCAGAAGGTGGAATTCCCATATATATACCACCAGCCCCTACACATACACAGCCTCCCCCACTATCAACATGTCCCACCAGATTGGTACATTAGTTATAACTGATGAACCTACAGTGACACGACATTATCACCTACAGTCCATGGTTTACATTAGGGCTCACTCTTGGTGTCGTACATTCCATGGGTTTGACAAATGTATAATGACGTGTACACACTATTACAGTAAGCCCTAAAAATCCTCTGTGCTTCACCTACTCATCCCTCCCCCCACCAACCCCTGGCAACCACTGATCTTCTCACTGTCTCCACAGTTTTCACTTTCCAGAAGGTCATATAGTGGGAATCAAAGCACACAGTATGTAGCGTTTTCAGATTGGCCTTTCTCACTTAGAAATATGCATTTAAGGTTGTCTTATGTCTTCTCGTGGCGTGATAGCTCCTTTCCTTTCAGCACTGAGCAATATTCCTTGTCTGGATGGACCACAGTTTATTTATGCATTCACCTACTGAAGGACATCCTGGTTGCTTCTAAGTTTTGACAGTTATGAATAAAGCTGCTGTAAGCATCCATGTGCGGATTTTCATGTGGACATGAGTTTTCAACTCATTTGGGTAAATACCAAGGAGTGGGCTTGCTGAATCATGTGGTAAAGGTATGTTTAGTTTTGTAAGAAACTGCCAAACTGTCTTCCAAAATGGCTGTGCCATATTGCATTCCCACCTGCAAGGAATGAGTGTGCCTGTTGCTCTGCATCCTCAGCAACATTTGTTGTTATCAGTGTACTGGATTTTTGTCATTCTAATGGGTGGGTAGTGGT